TACATTGTAGCAAAGTGTTATGTCTTCAGTGTCGTCACATGAAATGATATAATAAAATATTTACAAAAATGTGAGGGGTGTACTTCTGTGAGATACTAGAGATCCTTTACAGGCATTGGAGACATCAGCTTATATAAAATGATTTGCTGATGTACCCACTATGACATTGTTAAGGAAGGTATGGAAAGAGATCAAGAAACTGCTTGATATTAAGGGATACACTACATATACACTGTTGTGGTCAAATGATCAACAACCAGAATTAGAAAAATGACGGGGTTTTTGTTCCTGGGAAAGGTTAGGAATAGTGGTTTTGTCGCAACTATATTCCGACGGTGTTTTGAAATCATTTGACCAGTTATCTGTTGAATATCAGCTCAGAGTATAAGGTTAGGCACCGCTCAGGTATACATTAGAAGGCAGCGGGGATTCTTTCTTGCATGTTGATTCCAAGTGTATATGGCCAGCTCTAAAACGATTACTTTAGGACTTCTGTATATTGGAAATTCAGAGTGCACAAATAATTCAAAATTAAACTAAAAAGGGGCATATTTATAAAGCAGTGACCGTAGCATTCACCAAAGATTTACTGCAGACGAACCTTCCTGGTGAATGTGCTTTAATATACAGGAGAATAATGTCACATTTATTCTGCTTTATAAATATGGCCCTAAGTGTTAAAAATCTATCGCAAATGTAATTTTGTGAAGAACTGTCTGTCTAGATTGCAATCAAATTCAAAACCTACACAGAAAATAATTGTTGGGCATGTATGCTTTAATTGCTGGGGGCAATGCTGACAGTACTTATTAAAGACACTATGATAGATGAGGTCCAAAAGTCATGTGTACAAATGTTATACACAACAACATGCCTTAAAGCATACTACAGTTTATATTTAATATCAATAGTCATAAGTGTGGGATAAGCAATACAGTAACACAATAACAGAACTACAATCAGTGTATGGAGTTTCTTACCGCTACAGAAAATAAGCAGGTAAAATAATTAAAAAAAAAAAAAAAATCTGAATTAAGCACATGTGAACCTGAAACAATCATACCCATTCTTCTCGTGCCCCCTTCCCTCTCCTGTAGATATTTTGTACACACATTAACCCCGCAGGACTGCTGACCTCTGCCTCTCGCCTGCCACAAAAAAAACGTCATCAAATATTTTTCCTGCCAGCTTGGGGCAGCTAATCTTTTGCTATGAGTAACCACGATTCCGCAGGGACCACATTTAAAATATGCCCTCATTAAGAAGAATTAAAAGGGAGGAGGGATTGGGGGTGACAAGGTTGAAATCACTCAGGTTAGAAAGACCGGCTCAAAAGCAGACTTATGGGCTGGTAGGGGGTACACACTGCTAAAGAATAACTATCAGGCTGTGTAACAAATGGTTCCTATATCTTCCATGTCAAAATAATATTCAAGAATATTTACATCAGCGACATCGCATTCATACAGGGCAAGTCACTAAGTTATAATGAAATAGCTACTCCGCAATGAATTCAGAATAAACAGCGTCTAGTTTTTTTTCTGTTTGAAACAATGAAATGAATTTCATGTTATGCATTCTCTTTAGGCAGTACTATAAAGGCTAAACAAATCCCAGGAATAAAAAAAAAAAAAAAAAAGTGACAAAAACCTAAACCGGGCCCC